GCAGCAGCAGCAGCACCAGCAGCAGCAGCAGACCACCCAGCGGCGGCAGCAGCAGCGGCAGCAGCATACCCAACGCCGCGGCAGCAGCAGCCGCAGCAGACCACCCAGCGCCAGCAGCAGCAGCAGCAGACGACCCGGCGCCTGCAGAGCAGCAGCAGCACCAGCAGCAGCAGCACCAGCAGCAGACCACCGGAAGCCTGGCTAGCTTTCGTTCACCCCCTCTGGCCTCAAGTTACAATGAACGAGTGGCATTCCAAATCCAATTGCTTTCAGGATGCTGCACCTTCAAACTTGCGACAGAACACGTTTCTGGGCCTGTCATGGATGGAGATTCTATATTGTGTTTGTCATGGCGGAGGGTCTGGGGACAAGAGAGGATACAGTAGCTTTGAACAGAGTCTCGAGAACCAACCTCAAGTGTTCCTCAGGAACCTGTGCAGCGCAGCACACAACCCGCCCGGCGCCAACTGTGCAGCAGTCGGAGGCCCTGACTCCATTGATAGTTGCTGCTTGGATCAAATATTTTGAGGTCTGTGCACTGCGCACCTAGAGAAATCTTGGCACCTTTTCTCGTAAAGAGTCAAGAGCTCCCATGTTTGGCGACCTCTGCTGGCTGTTCTTGAGGCCCCCTATACTTTGCGAACCTGTGGTTGGAGCGGTTCGCACTCGACTTGACTTTTGCCACACGTCACACGTCGAAGTCAAAGCTTTTGCAAAGTTTGCCTTCCAGACATCAGTGGCGGGGCTCCGCCGCGCCCTGCAGGAGCAACAGCATTGGACTTACAGGAAGCTCAACGCATCAAAAGCAACATGGCAGGTGCTCGTGTCTTGACTGCACTTTGGCCCTTCGCAGGATGAGATGCATTCAATCGAATTGCCCAAGTGTGTCAGCTCAAGCATAGGCCGTTTGATACCGAATGCAGGGGCCGCATGACTGACTGTCCTCTCGTTTTAAGGTGACACACTTTCCTTGTGGACATCAGGCGCCTGAGAGAAACCGTTCTTTGTTTCGGACTTTTGTTCTGCGCTCGAAGCCTGGCAGCCAACCGACTCTGGATGTAAACATGCAAACCTGCGCCTCTTGAAGACGCCATCAATGACGCCAGTGGATGGTGAGATGATGTGAGAAGAGAGAGGGAGAGTGCGCACGCAGAGGGGAGAGAGAAAGAGAGGAAGGGAGTGGCAGAGATGCAGATGAGAGGTGGGCCCAGGTAGGCATGATGCAGAATGAATATATATATATATGTATATATATAGACGGCGATATGACTTATATAATCTAAGTATGCAGCATATGCACATGATTATACATGTGTATATAGTATTGATATGTTTTTAATATAAAGAGAAGGGGAAGGCCCAAGTCCTGCTTGTGCTTCTCGATATATATATATATAGGTCTTGATAGTGTCAAGATGCGTGCTTCAACGAACATCGGCTGTGTCTGCTAGCTTGTCCTGCCCTTAGATGAGCAATGCTCCCTTTCTGGGCGACACTTTTTGCACTGTTTAAGGCATTTGCCCGTGCTGCCTGTTGCATTTTCACTTTCTTCAAAAGTTGCTCTCATTAAATGATGGTACCCACTCTCATGTAATGCTGGCTGTGATGTTGGAAGCTGCCTTGCATGCTCCTGCCCCCACTTGTCGCACTTGTGTAGCTGATGGAGAGAGAGAGAGAGAGAGAGGGAGAGAGGTAGAGAGGGAGAGAGGGAGAGAGGGAGAGAGGGAGAGAGGGAGAGAGGGGGAGAGGGAGAGGAGTGAGAAGGAGTGAGAAGGAGTGAGAGTGAGGTAGAGAATAGAGACATATTGGACTTTGTTGTGGTCAGACAGTTGTAGAAGATATCACACAAATCCCTGTTGCTTCAGTTGCTGTTGCCAGTAGTCCTGCACCAGGACTGGTGGTACAAGAAGTTGCCACTTGACTCAGTTGTGCTGGTGCGAGTGTCGACCAACCACGTTTTAATGCTTTTGTCGTTCGTTCATCTTTGGAGTTCAGCGGTGCAGTGGATTGAAAGTGAAAGAATTTCAATGAACATGACTTTCTTCCAAGCCTCCGAAGCCTGCTATCAACAAGGCACAAGGAATTCGGCTTAGACCTGGTGGTCACTGGTCACACGCACATACAGCTGACCCATCCAATGGGAGGCTTGTGGGCTCAATTGTAGCTGAACCTCATCCAAAACTACAAGCGCTTGTGCCTTCACGTCCAGCAGCCATGTGTGACAGGCCTGATGTGCGTGATCTCAGGCGGGCCGTGGGTGAAGCTGTGAAGCTTCGCTTTCCCACCGGTGACAGACGGTGACAGAATCGGGTGTCGTTTGACCAGGGGGTGGGGGTGGCATCCTATCTGAAGTGGCAAGCCATGGAGATGACAGCAACAGTTTCCTGGCAGCAGTTGCAGACCTGACACACCTGGAGCCTGGCAGCTCAAGACGATTCAAAGGCGACACGTGCGGTCAGTGTCGGGGAACACTGTCAAGTGACACCGTTTTGGAAATCCTTGACACGTGGCGACGGCCTTTGCGATTTTAAGCTCCACCCTGCGTCTGAATGGTCAGGTTATGGATTCTATGAGGCGACAATCACGAGGTCCGGCAATTGCGTGCACGCTTGTTGACAGGCTCATGTTTCAATACACCAAGCCTCATTCAGCGCATCCTGCTCGTCACATCAGATCCTGGGAATGTACCAGTCAATAGTGTTGCTCGAGCCAGGGACGAAATCAAGCTGGAATTGATAAACTTTGCAGGCCCGAGCAATTCGTTTCAGCTGGGAAGAGGGCAGCCTTTTTCAGATTCTGATGATCCTTTTTGAAGAATGCGTCAGTCAAATTACACACAAAAAAAGGCATTTACAATCAGTACTGTATCTACTGTAACCATCGCCAACGTTCTTGATGATTTTCGCAGAAGCTTGGCTACGCCAACGCTGTGCATTTTTTGACGACGTCAAAGCACAGTAGGGGTAGGTAAAAGTCAATTCGCACAACGAGCCATTCATACGATGAGATTGAGAACAGATGGAGCTCCACTGATGGACATTGAAGCGTTTCTTTGGTCAATGGTTATGACCCATGGCTGTCCTCTCCAGTGCAGGCAGAAGTCTCGGCACTTGGAAAGTGCACCATGGCAAGGGTGCCCCCAGCCATCATGAGGAGAATTGGTGCAGCTTGAAGTCCGGTTAACTTTGGAAGGGAGGAGTAGGAGGGGGCCTTTATATAATGTGAACCGAACATCCAGTGGATTCGGGAGACCGCCTGCCGACCTAATGTCCGAGATAACCGACCGCATGTGGGTTTCTGGAGCAGGGCCGGTCTGTGCGCTGCCAGGAGATCCATTCCAAGAAGATGAGCAAACCAAAACGTATGGAGCATTCGAAAGATGCCTCGTCTTCGGAGCATTCGAAGGAGGATCAGGATGAGCACACGACGACAAAACCTCTGAAGATCAAAAAGCCGATAGCAGAACCCGCCAGGCAGAGTGGCTAATCCAGAGATTGGAGGGAATTTGCTGCCTTCATGTGAATGGGTCTTTGCTCTTTGCTATTGCAGTATTTTTTTTGTAGTTGCACACTGATGCAAAAGGGTTGTTTGATTGCAAGGGGTAATCGGCAGTCACGCATGCAGCGGTGGCAGGGCAGAGGAGTCCAAATCGACACTTCAAGACCAGCTGAAGGCCAAGATTAAGGAGCTTATCGTTGAGAAGGAAAAGGAGAAGGAAGAACAGGAGGAAGAGAAGAAGGAGGAGGAGGAGAAAGATGAGGAAAAAGAGGAAAAGGAGGAGAAGGAGGATGAGGAGAAAGAGGAAGCGAAGGGCACCGCCACAAAAGAAAGCGAATTCTTTGGAAAGATGAGTCCGGAACAGAAGAGGACACCTTCTCCGTGTTGACGAGTGGCATGTACAATGCACGAATTGGAGATTGTATACTTGGTTCAAGTGAGAAACCTTGGGAAGAGTAAGGGGGCTTGGACACATTGACATGCTCAGTGAAGTAGCTCACTCATAGCCAACTCGATTGTCATGACCTTTCAATACATACAGCATTCTTCAGGACCACCTGGCACGCGCACGCACGGACGGACGCACGCACGCAAGCAAGCAAGCCCGCCCGCCCGCCCGCCCGCACGCACGCACGCACGCACGCACGCACCCCCCCACCCACCCCCCCACCCACACACACACACACACACACACTCTCTCTCTCTCTCTAGGAAGTGTGGCTTGTGGTGCAAGCTCCTGCATCGACGCTTGTCAAAGCTGGTCAAAGATCCCGTATCCGTGTGATCACAGAGGCCCGAGGCCTCTTTGGGCGGAGGGATGACATAAAATTACATGTGCTGAATATGCATGACTGGGGCTCAGCCTGCTCAATCACAATGCTTTCGGATTGGCTGATGTGGGCGGACCCCTGACAGAAGCGAGCACATGCGTATATCATTTACCGAGCCTTGGCATGCCCCTCGGTTCTTAAGGAGATTTGCTCGATTTAGAACTTCAGGTGGGCTAGCACAGTACGGGTGCATTTTACAACTGATGTGGTTTGGCTTAGAAACTCGAAGATGTAGAAACGGCTGAATGAAACAAAGAAAACTAAACTTGCTCAATGCATCCTTTGCTCCCATCAATACCTAAGACTATGAGCCATGATTGGAGTGCGGAGGGTGGCCCAGGGTGGCCCATACTGCCACGAATAAGCTTGGCATTTGAGTCATTTGTAGGTTGGGGTGCAGAGCCCAATTCTGGGTGAGATGTGTTCCCACTGATGCTGTTGTACCCGACACCGACGTTCCGATCGTGAGCTGCCATAGGGAGCAACCTCAGCCATGTGCCTGATTTCTGTCCTCGCAGTATCACAACAACTTCAGTCGAAACAGGCTAACGAAACCAAGGGAAGAATGGAACAAGGCCAAACCCGCTTTTGCATCACACACCTGCTGGCTCATGCCGGCTCACAAACCTTCCATTTGTGTTTGCTTGTTCAGCGGTGATCTCTCTTATGTGCCTTTCTGAGCTGACAGGCTGGAGTGTTCTTGATGTTAGCATTTGTTGTCTATCTCATTGCCAATTAGATTTCCCAGCGAAGCTGGGTGCCTTTAGACTACGCAGGATTTCACTTATGAAGCAGCTGACTCGCTGGTGCGCTGAGCGTACTGGTATTGTAAGTAAGGGCCTGGCATTCCCAGGCTCAGTCTCAGCGCAGCTCGTTTCAGCTTTCCCGCTTCATGCGCTGCATTGACCGGCCGCAATGTCAGTGGGGACCCCGCTGCATGAACCACTGCTAGATGAAGTGGTAGAGTCGAGTGTAAAATGATTCTTGTGTTTTCGACATTGGTGGCTGAAATCTCAAATTCAAGCTCTTTTGCTGGACCAACCAGCTGGGCTGAGTGTGAACCTTGACACAAGAAAGGCACTCGGCTGACTCAGTTCATGCGACAAAGTTGCGTAAGGAGTGCGATCCTTTGAGATTGCCTCCACCTCTTGAACTGTGCAGAGTTGAAAAGAGTGTGAGTGGATGACGGTAGTCGCTTGTCGAGAACACATTTGATGGCAATGCAGGCCCCTTAGTGCAACAGACATATTGCAACAGGTCAAGTGCCACAGTGCACTTGAAATGATGGAGATACCATCGGTCATGGAGCCTATGAGTTTGTGTTTTTCTGTTACCCGGCACCCGTGGCCTGGTGCCCATGAGTTTGCACGTCAACACCTGAGGTGTGCGTACACTAACGGATTGGGAATTGGGTCCCTTTTTTCTGTTCTAGCGATTTCTTTTTGCCTCTATTTGCACGATGGCCACCTGCTTGATATGAGCAGGCACTGCTGCGGCAGCACAGCATTGACTTCAGCCACTGTGTTGAGAAATCAGAACTCCAGGCTGCCGCGTTGATTTGAGAGCAGAAGGTAACTTGAGCTCAAGAAGTGCAAGTGCTTTGTACCATCCGAGCTGCTTCCACTAATTGTTGCCAATTGAGTTGTCTTCGTGAAAGCAGGCATTCCAAGGTCTAAGCATGCAGGCAAGACAACAAGCCGTATCAAGACCTTCCTGCGCACTTGTTGTGACTGCGTTGCACTTCCCATTGTATTCAGTGCTTCCCGTGTGTCCTTCGGGAGGAGCTGTGGCGGAGCTTCTCCAGCTTGCAAAGGCCTTCGGACAGAGTCTGGCCCAGAGCGGAGAACAAAACATTTCTTGAGCAGCTGGGAGATGGAGTTCCGAGAGTCTGAAAATACATGAAGACAAATGAAGAGCGCACAGCCAAGCAAGAGGGCTCTGAATCAGATCATTGAGAACCCCACCAGCTAAACTGCTAAACCTATGTGGCACGCTGATGCAGTTTGCTGAATTTTGGACTTAGGCGAGGCCACGGCTTTCGCCTAGTGCGCAGCCAGCCTCCCAACAAGTGCAGGACAGGGGGAAGCACACGGGTGTCAAGTTGGCATCAGGGAGCTTAGCGTTACATTTGTCGCAGGAGCAGCCGAGAGTGCCTGCCAGAACTGAGGCACGCACCCGCTGCATGGGTATTAGTACAGACTTTGGATGACTTCAGAATGAAGCAATCATCGACCTCCTAAGTCCACCGTGTTGAAGCTGCAGAACAATGTATCAGCATGCAGCAGTGACTGGCCGCCTGGCCAAGGTCGAGTTGTGACAGGGCTAAATGTCCAACAGACCAAACCAAAGTGAACCTGCAGAGTTTTTGTTGGTCAAAGGCGGGTATGAGAGTGATCAGCTCTCATGTCAGTTTGGATTCCCTAGAAGGCAGAGAGCAGCCGTGATCGTGAGGCTGGGAACCAAGCTGACTAGGTCAGACATTGGGGAGTGTCACACAGTTCACAAGTCGTGACCATTGAAGATGTGCGAAGTCAGAATTCAGTCCGCTAGAAGGCTCGAAGAGTCAGGAGAGTCAGCGTGACTGTGCTCTTAACATTGGCCAATTTGAGGCACAGGAGGAGGTGCTTCGCATCTTGCCATTACGACGCGAGGTCAGCAATATTCAAGCGGGAGAACCTTCAGAAATCAGAAACGGTTCCTTCTTAGAAAATTATGAAGGTTTTCCAGAGGCCGTTTCAGGTTTGAAGCCGTTTCTCTTAGAACTTCAGAAATGGTATCGTCTTCGATCTTGGACTCCAGAAAATTTGAAGTGCCAGGCCTTCCCTTCAGCTACGCTCTGGGCCTTTGCTGTGCTGGGTGTTCCTTGGCGATGTGAAGTGGCACGATTTGGATAAAGATTCACAGCAGTTGCTTACTTAGGCCCATGTGAAACCGAAGGGGAGAGGGGAGCAAGCTTTGCCATACACAGGGAAGTTGCCAAGCTGGAAGAAGTTCTTAAAGTGGACTGGTTTCTCATGTCCCCACCATTGTTGACTCCACGTATTGCCACTGCCATGATAACTCATGTTAACATGCATTCGGCAGCAAATCCGACAGGGCCTTTGGGTGCCTCCGTGTGTTTGGGATTCTCTTACTGTGAGCATGTTCTAGCCCAAGGCTTCGCATGACAGCGGCTCGGTGCAGCGTCGCAAACCCAGCCTAGTCATAGTAGAAACATATGGAAACCTTGATGGGGTGGTCCCGGAAGCATGCCTCAGGCAGCTACCGGAGCCTTATGCGGAAGCTGCACCCAGACAAGGCCTGGATGGGTTTCACGGTCACGCTGAGGCAAGGTCAGATCCTTTTTATCAACGGGTGGGTGGTACTTGCCTGTGGGGTCTCAGCCAGAGGCTTGCATCCATGGTGGCACGTGAAGATTGTTATGGAACATTCAAGGTGGCAGGTGGCAGGGACAAATGAGAGTTGTGAGTAGAGGGCTCCCACAACGTTGAAGACCTAAGTAGCTTGGCGACCAATGCACCAAACAGGTGAAAATCACCGAGGGTGTGGAGAAGACCACCGCCCTCATCCGTGAAGCCAAGGCTCATTTGGAAGCTACGGCAGCTGTGTGTTTGGAGCGTGCCTGTTTTGTTGTAGAAACATCTTTGATCATCCCGTTTTGGTATTGATGCCGCAAGTATGTCTTTTTTGTGCGTCCGTTTGCATTCTTGCCGACTCATCTCCATGGGCGACTGTGCAAATGTTTCATGCGCCCCAGGATCTTTGCGAGCGAAGCTTGTCTAATCTGGTCGTTCCTGGGCCTCCTCAGTCTCTCAGGACGGGCTGTGAGTGTTGACCATGTCGTTGAATGTCCTTGCCAAGGATAAAGCAACTTCTTATATACATGATGACATGGTGTCGTGCTTGTGTGTGTGTGTGTGCGTGTCCCGAGGGGTACCACTTTTGTGCAGGGGGCCAGGCCTGTCACATCCGACCTGGCCCAACGAAGCTGGGATGTGACAGGGGAAGCGCCAAGGGACGCCTTGGTGTGTACCTGCAAAACAACTGTTGTTCACGCTGTCTACTTTCTTGGTTTGCTTCCATGGTCGTTCTCATAATAGATCCCAAAACAGGTTTCCCTCGCTACGAATTCAGTAACTAACGTGCGCAGTCATACAAACTTTTGTTGAACACGTTCAATTCCACTGACCCAGCCGCCTTGCCGCTTGCGTCCATTTTTGGCTCGCTACGTATTGAGTAACTAGAGTCCGCAGTCATGCCAACCTTTTTGTTAAACACCTTCCACTGACCCAGCCGCCTTGCCGTTTGCGTCCATTTTTCGTGGGAGTTGATGTAACTGAAAACCCTTTGTCAAAGTGTGCGCGGTTCTGTCGCCCCCGTGGGTGCAGAGTGTGATCCCCGTCACTGGGGCGCTGAGTTCATTGTGGATCACATTTGGATATAGTGTTTCTGCAAACGTTGGATTGTCTTTCTTGGATTGAATGTTTCACACCATGAACCTACTGCCACAAAACTGCCGAGTGCATACGGAGAATAACCCCCGCCGAGTTCTCTAACCCCCCCTCTAATTAGGGTAACAGAGGGAAATGGTACTCGACACACTTGTGTGTCGGTGCCTTTCCCTCTGTTGTCCCTGTTCTAGTCTACTCTACCCGGGCGGTTTAAGACTAAAGTCACGCTCCCTAACTATGCACCTAATTAGCTTCCGTTAAGTAATCAGTAACTCTAGAGTGCTAAGTATTCAAACACACACACACGGACACACACACACACATGTACATACATCCCCTCCCTGCCCCCCACTTTCTTTCTTTCTTTCTTTCTTTCTTACGTTTTTCGTCGTTTCTTGGGCTTTCTTTCAGGATTTTTAGGTGGTTCTTGAGGCTCGTTTCCCTACCCCAGTCAAGGGCTAAGTAGTCACCTTTTGCTAGTCCTATCTTTCTCTCCTGCCCTTTTAGCGCTGCTCTTTCTGTTTTTCTTTCTTTCGCTTCTAAGGCTTTTTAGGTGCCTATTCCGGTTCTGCGCGAGAGCGCCGCAAAGCGGCCGGGTGTGTGTGTGTGTGTCACACCCCGTCCCGAGGGGTACCACTTTTGTGCAGGGGGGCCAGGCCTGTCACATCCGACCTGGCCCAACGAAGTTGGGATGTGACAGGGGAAGCGCCAAGGGACGCCTTGGTGTGTACCTGCAAAACAACTGTTGTTCACGCTGTCTACTTTCTTGGTTTGCTTCCTTGGTCGTTCCCATGATAGATCCCAAAGCAGGTTTCCCTCGCTACGTGCTCAGTAACTAACGTGCGCAGTCACACCAATTTTTGTTAAACACCTTCAACTCCACTGACCCAGCCGCCTTGCCGTTTGCGTCCTATTTTCGTGGGAACTGATGCAACTGAAAAACCTTTTGTCACAGTGTGGAGTGTGTGCACTATGACTATGACTATGAGACGATACGATACTACATTGATACCCGGTGGTGTCCTTGGGCACATCTCTGATCTATCAGACAGGGAGATACCGAGTGTTGGTGGACATTCTTTGCTTCACACTCGGCTTGCAGGTACGAGGTGCTGGGATATGAAATGGGCCGCCGCCGATACAGACTTTGCTGGGTTCCCCAGTGATGATCTTCAAGTTTCTTCTCCCAGCAAGCGGCCATGAGTTACGATCAATGATTCAATGAAAGGCGTGTACTGGGCAATGGAGAAGGAATCCATTCCTGTGCTCGCCTCTTGAAATAGCCATCCATCATAAGGTTGGCAACCGCCAGAACGGCTGCAAGCGGCATGCTTTGAGCCTTTTTCAACGTAACGTAGACAAGCCTCGACTGCAAGATCTTTTGAGCGCCACGCCCATCAACCAACGCAAGGATGCACCCCATCCTGCCAGGAATATGGCAGCGCCAGTCTCGAGGCCAGAAGCGCCAACCTCTCTCCAAGGTTAAAGCTTTGCAGTTTTTTTGGTGACAACATGTGACAGCATGTGACAACATGTGTTCATGACTTGCGTCGGGCGCCGCAAGAATTTATAAGAGTTTCCTGTGTGTTGCCGTATGTGTTTTCATCACGCAGGAACAAAAAAAGTCTCAAGTCAGGATAAGCCAGTTTGCAAACCCAGAATGTTTTTTTTTTTTTTTTTGTTGGGTTTCTTCAGGGTTTGCGATGGTACGGAAGAACCGCTTCGCAGAGAAATGTGTGCTCTTCATTGGTGCCTTGAGTGCCTTTTTGATATTTCAGGCTTTCCAGGCCTTTTCTTTGGCAACGCATCCATGGGAGGTTGAGGTCTCCCCAGCCGAATCGGGAGGTGGAGGTCTTTCGCAAAAGACTCTTCTGTCAGCAGCCGCGGCACTCAACGACACTGGCTTCGCCGTCCTGAGAGGTTCATCAATTTTCTCAGAGGAGGAGCTTATAGAAGCTCAGTCAGCAGCAGAATTGGAGTTGGAGCGTGTGAAAGAAGCAACGGAGCATTTGCAGCTACTTGATCGGGCACCATGGATTAAGGGCTGCTATAGAATTGAGAGGCTGTTTGAGTTTCAGGAAGCGCTTTGCTACTCCGAAGGCCGTCTAGACATGCCGAAGCTCCTAGAGAACAAGAGGTTGAAGGACTCGAGGTGGTTTGGCCACACGTGTTTGCAAGGCATTGCGCAAAAGTGCTTGGCCACGAAGTGCCAGCAATCTGTGCTGGGTGCGCTGTGGAACTTCCCAGGCTCTGGCCCACCAGTCTGGCATCGCGACGGGGAGGAGCAGCTGTTGGTGGCAGTGACGGCGGCCAAGAACTACCCTGAAACTGTGGGCTTCATCCACGGACAGCCATACAGCCATAGGCATAGAGAGAGCCCCGGGGCTGCCCCACCAGACGAATCTCTTGGGGAGATGGATATACCTCTTCCGCTAAGACGTGGTGAGACCCTACTCTTTTGGTACACCACGAAGCATGCGGCCACGCCCAACTTCAGCGACCAAGATCGGTGTTTGATCTATAGTGTGCATGGGCCTGTAGGTATGGAAGATCAACAAAACCATAAGAGCTTTTTGCCATCGCTGTTCAAAGTGTCTTCGGAAGAAGCACGGCACTTAGATGAGTTCTATTACCGCCAGGGCTATGGAAATACTCCCAGGCCTGTGTCGACCATCGACCTGTCAGCTCCGCTCCTTGCGGGAACTGTTTCTGCGGTGCTCGTGCTTGGCCTGCTGTTTTGGCGGTGACCGCTGATGGACCTGCGACACCCGACTCGGCCTTTATGATGGCCACGGTGCGATCGCGGACTTGAAGGTGGTGGGCGGTGGCTTGTGCTGCTTGAACAAGCCCCGAGCAACCACAATGCTTTCGACTCAGTTCCAGTCCGAAGCTGCCGTGAGGATTCTCGCTCATGGAGGTGTGGTTCAAAAGAGTGAGCTGTAGCACCGCATGCGCAGCTGAGACCCTCAAACATGCAGGTGAATTGAAATGAACTGCCCCTGAACTTTGTGCAGATACCTCGTTGCTGCTCTAGATCCGGCGTACGGGTCGGGGGCCTCTGATGGAGTGGAGTCATCTGCTAAGATCACCAAGAGGATTGGGCTAAATAATTGTCGCACTATCCGAAGAATCAGGAGGTTCCACTGGTTTCTAGAAGTGTGTGTGTGTGTGTCGCACCCTGGCTCTAAGGGTTTTCCACACCTTCACCACTTTTTCCACCATGACAGGGAATTCCACAGGCAGGGGAGTGGAGCAGGCCTGCAGAGCTCCACTTAACAAAGCTCTCTGCAGTGTCCTGAGGATATCGGCAAGGACGCTTGCCGACGTACCTGCACCGAAACTGTTGCTCAAGCTTTTCCACTGTCAATTTGATTCATGGTCCTTCACGCTACCTACCCCTTAAACCATTTTCTTTCAGCCACTTTCAGCGTTATGCATTTTTCCGCCGTTTGTGCTGTGCGAGTGAAACAATGTTTAACACTTCGAGTCACCGGACCCTTTCACCTTGCTGTTCCATCACCGTCCTTCCCATCGTGGCAATTGAGTCTAACTGAAAACCCAAGTTCGAAGTGTGTACCGCTCAGTCTTCCCACGTGGGTACTGGGTGTGACCCTCCGAAAGGAGGTGCCGAAGCCATTCCGGATTTCATTGACCCTGCTTGTTTATAACTGACCTTTTGCTTGTTCAATTTATCCCTGAATTTCCTGATTTTCGAGCCGCCGGGCTATAAGCGACGGAATATCTACCCAAAGCTCTGACATTCATTCGTGTTGTGCATTGCTACATTCCTCAATTTTTATTTTTCCAACCGCAGCCGTTTAACCGACGATCAACGTATGCATGCTCAATACTACACATCCCAGAGATTGCACTGCATGCCGAGATGTCATCTTAATTAATTTTTTCACAGCACACGCACTCAGGTTCCAGAATTCACTGCCATCTCCAATTTCTCACTTCCGCTGCTGTGCCGCGCCGGCGCCATTGTCTGCAGCCTTTCGGATTGACCTCTCCATCGCTCTTCACACGCAGTTTCCCTGGCCATATCCACAATGGCCACCACCGTGTACCGCATCCACAATACCTACTGTTAGCACTCAGCCACCACCATGGCACCATTCTCCACCACCGGCACCTGTCACTCCCGTTCTGCCTCATCCAGCACAGCAGTCCATCTTCCCTCACTTTCAGACCGCTCCACCGCAACTGCCACCTCCTACGTGGCCACCTCCCATGCCAACACATCCGCCACCGGCACCAACTTTTATTGTGCCTCACACACACGCCTATCCAGCACCACCTCAGATGCAGGCATTTGAGACCATGCCAGCACAACCTTTCCACCATCCACCCTCTTTGCAACATGCATCACCAGCGCCCTCGGCTCCACCAGCTCCCCAAGCACCACAACCACAACCACCAGCCCAGCAAGCTCCCGTTCACTGGGACCACTCTCAAGGCGTTTGGCAGCCTTACTCCCTCTTTCCACCCGTTGCTCACCCTTCGCCACATCAAGCCTCAGCCCCAACCACCGTTGTTCCTTCTGATCCAACACCCTCCACGGTGGCGCCCACGCCACCCGCTCCAGACGTTCCGAACGTCCCCACACCAGCCAATCCCACTCAGACCACCACTGCTACAACCGCTACGCCACCTTCCACGTCACCAACCACTAACTTTACTCCACCACCAGCCACCGCTCCACCACTACCGCCACCGCTGTCACCCCCAACGGAAGCACCTTCAGTACCCAATCCGGGCCTCACAAGCAACCTCCCGCGGCTGGACCCACCCATTCAGGCACACCCCTCACAACACCGGCCTCTCTTGCAACCACTGGCCGCACCAACCGCAGCAGAGGCCGCAGCCGACGTCGTCGCCGCCACCACAGTCGCCACACACGCGCCAAGCGCGCCGGACATCACCACTCTCCTGCAGCCTCCACTGCCAAAGCGTCGTCGACACGCCGCCGGCGTCGCCGTTCCCCCTCAACCTCAACCTCATATACCACATCTTCAGACAGCCGCTCCCGCAGCCGCTCCCATGCACCCATCACCCTCCGACCCAATCAGCAGTCTACACCTCAGCACCAAATCACAAATATGTTCCAGGCAGACTTCCCCAACATTCCAGCAATACGACGGCCCCATCCGCCTTGAAAGCCACCCCCACCACATTTCCACCAGCTTTCCCACCAAGAACAGATTGAATGGTGGCTCGACTTTCACGCTGCACAATTGGCAGCAGAAAACAAACCACAACACGCATACGTAGCCAAACTGCTCGCTGACATCGGCTACACCATCGACGATTTGGCAGACTTCCGACAACTCAACCATGTGAAGTGGAATGACACCACCAATACTTATGACACCTTCTCCTACCACTGTATCAACATTCCCAGTCTAGTCGACAAGGCCACTCGCCCAATACCAGCGCCTGCCACCCGTGCCACATCCACTACCCCAGAGACAGTGCACATCAACGCCGGCCACACAGGCCCCCACGGCAACATCACTGCCATTCTACAACAGGGCCGTCTCCTGCCCAGCGCCCTTCACTTTGACACCAACCCGGGTTTCTTCGCCCAAGCCACACGCATTACTCACCAGCCAATCCACGACAACTATGAACAGGCCCGCGTACTACACAACACGTGGAAGCTGGCAAAAATCATCCATTCTATCATGATCCATCTCCTCGCCTGGGGCCGGGGGACAAAATTCACCAGCGGCGGTGAAGCCCAAGCCATGCACCTCTTGCAACAAGACCACGGCGCTGTTTGCCACTCAAAAGCCCGATGCTGGGCGATTCACCCCCATAACGCCATAGTCAAAGGACTGGCGTGGTCTATCAATGCAACACCTCCGGACCTTTGAGGTTCCGCCACATACCACCGACCCACCCACCTTCTTCAACGCCAATACCAACTCCACACGCTTGAGAGAGGCCCGTCCATGAGTTTCACATCCACCACCAACGCCAGCTTTGCAAAATTCGAGCTCCAGTCTTTATGCCAGCGCGCTACGATCCCATGTATTGCATTTCAGTCTCATTGTACAATAGCTTGTACTTTCTCTAACCGACAGCCAGTTTTGGTGTTCATTTTGCCCTTTGATCGAATTCTCGTGCATGATCGCTTAGATTATCTCCAGTCTTTGCAGATTGCTGAATTTTTGTTGATCAATTTCCTTTTGCGCAAGGACAAACTGCAGGTTTAGTTCATTTCAGGCTGTACTGTTTCAGACACACACTATGTGTCTCTGTCTGTCCCGCAAAATTCGCGCTCAATAATTCATTTTCGTAATTCAATTGCATGCTCCGCTTCTCTGCGCCGGCCACGCATGCAGTGCTGCTACCTGCGCTGCGCCGTCCGCTGCTCCAGCCGGCCACTTCAGCTGCCCGACCTAGACGCTGCTCCTCAAGATGCAGTCTCATGCCGACCAAGCTCGACTCATCCATCGAACTACGATTGCCCTCAATCAGCTTCATCGTATACTCCAGCAAGCGACCGACATCCTGGCCAATTTACACAGCCTTTATCTTGTTCACACACGGCAGGTCGACCCCCATTTTCACCGACCTTTTCCGGCCCTCCCTCCGGCTCCCCTCACAGCAGTTCCTATCCCTTCCCCCACTTCCTCCTGTGATTCGGCTCCTGCTGCCCCCATCAAGCATGCGCCACCACAGCGTGCCCCTTCACAAGCATCCTCAACCTCCACCTCTCCACCACCACTACCACAACCCAAGAAGAAACGCGAACCTCCACCACCCCTCAGAGAAGATGCTGATTGGGACGCTTGGGATGGCGACGCTGAAGTTCGCCTTGTGGAACTCAAAACCGATACCCGCCTGCGACCGAATTGGAATTACGTTGCTCGTCGAGTGGGCTTTTCAATTGCACAGTGCAAAGCACGCTGGGAAGAACTTCAAGAAGCACAACGCCAACAACAAGCAGTCATCCCACCGCCCTCACCTACTTCACCCGCCCACACGCCACCACCTCTTTCCCCTGTCCCTTCACCTCCCTCCGCAGCAGCAATCCCACCACCAGCAACCCCTTCAGCTCCGGACTTCGCTTACACTCCTACAACACCTCCATCACCTGCACCGGCTGCCGCCGCCATGGCCGATGCTATGCCAGCAACCATCAGTGAGGACAGTCATCCGGAACCGGCAGCAGCTGATATTGGTAGCTATTTTATATAAATAGTCTCTGTTTCACCCAGCTCTCCTCGGCGCGCCTATAGCAAACAACCTCCATGCACAGCTGAACCATCGTGTGCAGGCCCTTGCAGTTCTGCCCCGTTGCACTTTTGAAACCAAATCAATCTTTCCAGCCATTTTACTGCATTGCGCAGCTGAATACCGCATTTTTTCTGAGATTTGATCGCCAGTTTACCTCATGCTACCGCAGCCATTTTCAACCTCTCGACTGCTTTGAGTGTACAGACCGATTTTCGTTCACCACGGCCCCAGCTGACGTCCGACCGCCTCGCGCCCCGCGGTCACCACCTGCAGAGCAGATTTCAGCCACCGAGACGCACTTTCTCCCAGACAACCCTCCTCCACACTTGACCCTTCACTTACCCACCAACCTGAACTTCTCTACACGCAAGGCCTTCTCGATAGCCTTGCCAACGTGGTTATCCAGATCCTCAATCACCCCATGATCGACAGTCCCGTACCAGACCACACCCTTTTCACCGATGCCGATGCTTTCCGGCTGTACTTTCAGTACCGCCAGAGTGTCACTGAGTTAGCCAGGATTACCATGCGCCTCAAACGCGCCAGTCGATTACTTCAATTTCTACCAGGCCCTCCAGGCCATCCAGGCAGCTACCGTGTCAACCCTCTAGCACATTTTCCACCTGACACCACTGATTTCCTGGCCGATGACGTACGCACTTTCTGTCCACCTCCAAATCGACACCATCGTCATCGACCCAATCGCCATCGTCAGCCTGAACCTCACGGCCCCGCAGCCAGAGACCGCTCACGGTCCAGAGACAGCTCAGCATTCTAGCCACCACTTCAACATCCACCG